CACTAAATTGTAACTTTGACATGAGAATTTATTGTAACCCCGCTGTTCTTCATATTCTTCTTTATAAGACAAATTCATTTTTCTTGGTTTTCACATCGCTAAGTTCTTTGATATGTCATTGTCATGTATTGCATTGTAGGTCTTGACTTTAAAAAGTGGCAAAATGAGAATAAAATGGAAACTCTAGCTGAATAAATACATATAAAATCATAATTTAGGGTAAAGTATTTCTAAAAACAAGACTTTTATGCATTTTTAAAAATCCACAGAGTGGGATGATAATGAATCAATATGCAAGAAACAAAATGAATACCTAAGACATTGGCATGGGACTGGATAGCCCATCCCTTAATGTAATCAAATTACCCTGATACGAAAGAAAAGTTCCCGAGACTCCTTTGACAAACTAAGGCACCCAGTTCAAAGTTTACATCCTCATCCTTATGACGTTCTTGATATGATTTGCCTGGCTTCAGGCTGTTTTATTTTTGTGTCATTCAGAATAATACTACAATTTCAAATGCAAATTTGGAACACCCCCACCTTTCTGCTTCTTCATGTGCACATTCATCAGTGGAGCCACTGGAGTATAATATTGGTCTTAGTTTTTAAAAGCTGTTGTGCCTTCTAATTTTCACTGCTTGGCATATAGAACCCCTACAGCTATGTCCACTTATAAATCCAGCACACTTTAATTAGTGGTGTGGTGATGTTGAACTCTAGCAGTTCAAACGATGGACTTAGAAATTCATAACAATTAACTCTTTCTATAGGATGGCAAAGCGTAAAATAGACTTTTCTCTCATTCAAATCCCCTTATACAATTTTCTTCTTTTCTGACCATATTTTACTTATATGATTATTGGATTTATCAGACTGGTCTCTGGAGCATTGTAATATAGTGGGTGACTTCATTCCTTCTGCTTTTGAATACGAAGTCTTGCTTTGATTTAAAATGCTAAATAAACACAGAATTTTCATTGTAAATCCTGGATTAGAGACGTCAGCAAAATGAATGAGCTAATGTTGTGGCTTATATAATAAACTAAGGTTAGTGCTATAAAGTCAGGACTGTGTTTTTATGTGAGATGGAAGCTGCTTCAATAGGAAGTTTATAAGATCATTAGGACGCATTCACCAATTCAATAGGAATAAAACCTGTTTAAAACTATGTCTTTCAGGGTGAAAAAGTTATTCTCATGTTTAATGTACCATAGGAATCTCAACTGGGATAAAGGAGAAATAAAATCACCATAGATATTATAATACTTTTAATATGTATTGTTCTGGCTACTGAATATAAACTTCAACATCAGGCAACAATGAACTAGGGTGATTTTAGTCTGATTTAACGGAATCTTTCTGCATTTGGCTTGTGTGAGAAGGTATGAGGGGCTGGACTTTGAAGAAGCAAGCTGGAAAGAGTATTGACACTTTTGAACATTGTTATTGGAGAAGACTCTGAGAATACCAAGGACTGTTGTATTTGTATGTGGGAAAGACCTTAGGAGACTGAGTAAATAGATGCTGCTTTGAGAATGGTCAGGCAAGATATAGCATAACATAATCGGTGAAGCAAGAGGTTCAGAACTAACTCTCCCTACATTATCAAGCTGTAAAGATGACAGTAGGAGAAATTTAAGACCTGCAAGTTTCTGTTAATGTAGCTTTACAATAAAGTAGGGTTACTTTATTTGGTCATGTTTCCTGTCTGGACTATCTGTGTAATGGAATGTAGGGAGGACCTTAGGGAACAAGGAGAAGAGTTGATGATAAACCAGACAAGAGAGGCAGGAACTATCAGTGGCTGAACAAAGAAAAAATTAGGAAGGATCTGCCCTAATGTATCAAGCAATTAAAACTGACAGCAGGACATCTGTACTTTAGACTTGCAAGGATCAGTTAAAGTAGGCTTAAAATAAAATAAAATTAGTTAATCTAGTCCTGTTTCCTGGATGATTTACCTGGGAGAGATAACATAGTGGGAAGGCTGACATCAATCTTGCAAGTCTGAAATCCCCCCCCCCCACTACATAGTACTTATTATGCAGCTGGGGATTATGATGTTTCTTACCTAATAGTTCCCTAAGTAGTATCTCTTTGCCCATTTCCCAAGGTTTTCCTATGTACTATTACATCTGCTAAAAAAAAATCCAAAATAATAATAAGAATGAATCATTGGATAATTTAACCCAGACGTTTCACTCATGGCACAAATAACCAGACTTAAATTATGGCATTTTGGAGATCTTATATACTGTATTTAACTATCTGGAGAAACTGGTAAATATGGTACACAATACCCAATTAATCCAGCTAAATATTGTCTATCATCAGCCTCGAACTGATAACAAGTTTGTTAAGTATAAAATGCATATCAGCAACAAAACAGTGCTTGACATATTCTTGTACAGGTTCATGAGTGATAAATTTTATATGCTCATCATCAACAAAGAAACTTTAAAGTTTTGAGCTTGTGCCACTGCTGGTACACTTAAGTTTGCAGCTAAACTGAAAATGTTTAAATACAGATAATCTTATTTCAGTTGAAAAATCGGATTATTGCCATTTTCAGTGACATATATTTTCTTCACTATGAATAACCCTTCTTCTTCCTCTACCTCCTCCTCTTCTTCTCCTTCTATTATTATTATTATTATTATTATTATTATTATTATTATTATTATTATTATTATTATTATTATTATTAT